GGCGTTTAGGCCGCTCTTAGATAAATGCGTGATAGTTTACCTCGACGACATCCTAGTTTACAGTCGCGATAAGCAGCAGCACTTAGCAGATCTGGAAGCAGTTTTAAAGTTTTAGACAAGCACAGACTACTGACCAAGGGTTCCAAGTGCGAGTTCTTCCAGGATAGGTTAGAGTTTTTGGGGCACGTTATTTCGGAGGCTGGAGTTGAGATCGACCCAAAGAAGCTGGACACGGTAAAAGCGTGGCGCCCCTCGACGAACATCACGGAACTGCAGAGCTTTTTAGGGTTCGTTAATTATGTGCGTCGGTTCGTCCCCGACATGGCACAGTTAACTGCCCCACTGACGGACTTACTACGGAAGGGGGTCCCTTTTACGTGGGAGGAGAAAGAGCATGCTACCTTCTCTGCCCTGAAAACTGTTCTCTGTTCACCGCCCGTACTGCGCATCGCTGACCCACACCGCCCCTTCGAAGTAGTAACCGACGCAAACGACATCGCCATTGGAGCCGTACTGCTACAGGATTTCGGCAACGGCCTACAGCCCATCGCATACGAGTCACGAAAGCTGCATCCGCCCGAGAAAAACTACCCGATACACGACCGCGAAATGCTCGCGATCGTGCATGCGTTCAAGGTCTGGCGCTGTTACTTGACTGGCGCAGACGTGACAGTACGGACAGACCACCGATCACTATAGTACCTCCGCGCACAGCCCCACCTCAACCCACGACAGATCCGCTGGCTCGACTTTCTCGGGTCAAACTTCCACTACACGGTCATCTATAAAAAGGGAGCATCGAAAATTGCCGACGCACTGACCCGCCCTAATGCCCAAATCCACGCGATACTACTTGCCCAGACCAGCCCACTTCTGACAGGCCTATTTACCCACGGATACCAGACAGACCCGTTCTTCACAGGAGGAAACTCGCAGCAGTTCGCAGCAGCAAAAGGAGTTTATTACGTAAGAGCCGGCACCGACCGCATCTGGGTACCGGGCTACACTTTACTAAGGGAGTTGTTACTACAGGAGGCACACGACGGGGTTACCTCGGGACATTTCGGAGTAGAGAAAACACGGCAGCAGCTGCAGCGGTATTACTACTGGCCCGAAATGCTGACCAACGTGCAACGACACGTGGCATCGTGTCCCACCTGCCAGCTCATGAAGTCGTCACGACAACGACCGGCAGGACAGTTGCAGCCGATACCACCCCCAGAGCGTGCTTGGCAGCAGGTGACGATGGACTTCGTCACGGGGTTACCGGCTGGATCAAGTGGGAACGACGCGATCCTGGTCGTCGTCGATCGGCTGACGAAAATGGCACATTTCGCAGCATGCAAGAAATCAATCACAGCCGAAGAAACAGCTCGCCTCTTCATCGCCACCATCGTTCGATTACACGGGATACCAGCAGCGATCATCAGCGACCGCGACACGAAATTCACCAGCAACTTCTGGCGGAACTTGTGGCAGCAGTTCGGCACGCGATTACAGTTTAGTTCCTCGTACCACCCCGAGACCGACGGACAGACAGAAAGGACAAACCAGACCATGGAGCAACTCATCCGAGCCACGCGCGACGACCCGACCACATGGGAACAGCAACTGCCACTCATCGAATTCGCGTACAACAACTCGCCATCCGCCACGACCCAACAATCACCGTTTTACCTAAACTACGGACAAGACCCCACAGTACCTATGACCCCGAATCCCGACAACCCAGTCCCACGCGCGCAACAGTTCGCAGAAATACTACAAGCAGCACGGACCCGAGCAGCAGAAGCATTAAAAAATTCAAACATCATCGCTAAGCGCAATGCTGACCGCCACCGCCGACCTGTCACTTACCAGCCCGACGACCTAGTTTTACTCGACACTCAAAACCTCCGCCTACCCATAACCCCAAAACTCCGCCCCCGATATTGCGGGCCATTTCGCATCAGCCACATGATCACACCCGTCACCGCCCATCTCCTCCTCCCTGCTGACTGATACGTCAGCCCGTCATTCCACGTCAGCCTGCTACGCCCATACGTGCCATCCACCAGCCAACTGCCTCGCAACCGCCCCGCCAGCATGACACGACCGCCGACAGAGCCAATCATCACGCCTAAGAAAATACTCAGCCACCGAGTACGTGACCCACGGGGAGCCCGCAGAATCGAATTTCTGATCCGCTGGAAAGACCGCACACCCACCGAAGACAACTGGGTCCCCCTGGATAGAATTGAGAATCACCCTGTCATCACTGAGTATCTGCGCAGCCGAAACTTCCGAGATGTACACGCGCTCTCGTAAGAGGGGCCTCTTTGGGGAAGGGGGTAGTGTAAGGAAAATTCCTTTTCCTTACTTCGCGTCCCTGCTTACCGCGTACATGGCCGTTCCCGCCATCGGCACCCATCCATGAACGTTACCCGTTCACGACATTCGCCTCGACCACGACTCCCGCCACTGTTCACGACGCGACCCAACCTAACGGTTCGGTTGGTAACCTGCGCTCCGGACCTCCGCCTCGACAATTCTCCAAACCTCGGCGCTAGGCCCGTAGCGCACCCCAATTTCCCACATTACCGTTACCACGCTAGCTTCGCTATATAACTTCGCTCATGTCCTTCGCTCAAACTGTATTGATTGCTTCGATAGTGCAATTCTCACTCGCTCGTTCAATTGCACTCGTAACACAACTGTTAGAATGTATATTTTGTATAACTGCATGCACATGGTGGAACCGTGAGCATTCAGTAGGGGTAGTTCAGCGTGGTTCAGTGCGGCTGAGCACTGAACTTCAAATGCTCTTTCCAAAATTGGAGACTGACAGCGCACAACTTTCCGCCTCCTAATAGCGTGAACCACATTTCCTAAAGTGGACAATTCGTCGCGCCACTCGTCGGCGCCCAGATGTCTAGCAATGCTGCCATGCACATGCACCACAGAACTTGCTCACGCTGGCGTTCGATAGTCGCGACGCTGCTTTACGGTGGCGAGCTGCGCATGTCGAAGAGAACGGAGCGAACGTGGCATGCATTCCCTTCCATGGCGGCTTGCTCAGCGCCATCCGAGCCTGCCTTATGACTCCCGCCAAGAAAGCCCTACCACACCGCCGTCCAAGCCGCGAAACTGGGACAGCAAGCACCTCATCCCCACGCTTCGTATGCGCGGCCCGTCTTAGAACGCCATCCGCAGCGTTGCGGGAGGGGAAGTCAGTTGCGCCATGGCCGGCGCCAACGAGGCGCGTGCTTGCGCCAGACGCGCCGTACTTCCGATCGTCCGACCATCGGCGCCGTCACCGCCGTTCGTCCTCCCTGCCAATTCGCCTACGGGTTATCGGCCGCAGTCAGTGCGCCCGTCCGTGCGCGGCGCGGCTATTTAGTCGCTCTACTGCCATGGCGCACGCAGCTCCCCGGAGTTCCGCTTAAAACACCACCGTTTCCACCGCAATCGCAGCAGCAGACTCGAGTCGATTAATTTCAGATTTCTCCTCCCGCACGCCCGCCGCAGACTATCACTTTGCGTGCTTTCCGTACTTGTGATAGTTCGCGACGCTGCGCGTTTCAGAGAAGTCGCTTCCCGCGCGTTACAGCGGCCGAGATGGCGCGGCTCAAACTGTTGTGCACGCTGCTGCTCCTCGTGCTGCTGTGTGAGTGAAGTCTCGTGATATATGATTCTTGAGCGTTTCAAAAAAATGTTTCGTGATTGTAAGTGAGCTGTTGACAGGTGGTCCACTCCACTGCTCGAGGTGGCCTTTGAGTCCGACTCGAAATTCTCCTCGCTCTGCTGTGTAAATGAAGTCTCGTGAGAAGTGAGCCGTTGACAGGTGGTCCGCTCCGCTGCTCATGCTCGCGTCCTCTCCCCACCCTCCCTTCGCCCCTCACTGCCCCTCGTCTTTTCAGAACCGTCCTTGTCCTCCTTCCCACCCACCCCCGCGCTCTCCCTCCTTCTCTCCGCTCCCCCATCCCTCCTGCCACTCTTGTTCCCGTCGCTTTCCAGCTTGCTACCTCTCTCCTAACAATTCTCTTTATCTGTTCTTCCGTGTTGCCGCCTGTTGTCCTCTCTCACCCTCTGTGGCTGCAGATGCAGCTGACACTCAGGTACCACCACTGCCACCACCACCACAGGCGCCACCACCACCACTGCAACCGCCACTGCTGCCACCAACCATGCCATGCGCCTGGCACACGCTTGCCATCCGCCACACGCTTGCCATCCGCCACACGCTTGCCATCCGCCACACGTTGCCCTCTCTCCTTCCTACCTCCTCCTTGTCCGTCTTCCTTCTTGCATCTGTTACATTCTCTCTCGACGATCTTCTTCCCCTACTTCTTGAGTCTCTTCCGGAATTCTCCACACTCTATATCCCGCACCCCCCTTTCCCCCTCCCCCATCGCCATGGTCACAGGCCAAGACAGTGACGGTGGGCAGGGGGTGGTTCAGCCCGTGGTCGTACGGCGTTGAGTCCTGGAAGCCTCCTGTTGTGAAACCCGGGGATAAGCTTGGTAAGCCCTCGGCAGCCCATGGCAGCCCATGGCAGCCCATGGCAGCCCGTGTGTTGCTGCACTCATGTGAGCCGCGTCATCCTTGCCCCCCCGTCCACTTTATCCTCCCCTCCTCGCTTCACCCTCCCAACCTCCCTCCGTTCTCCCAGTCTCCCTCTGCTGATTTACCTCTCTCCCCTCCTTGCACCTCTTCCTCCTCCCCTCCCCCCCTACTCCCCACCCTGCAGTGTTTCTCTCGCGCATGGCGGCTTATAACATGTGGCGCTTCAAGGCCCTTGCATACTAATCGTTCCCCATTTTATCTTCATTCTCCCCGTTCCCCCTCCCGGTACGTCCTCTCTTCCTGTTCCCTCACCACCCCCCCCATCAGTGTTCCGGTGGCGCATGGCAGCGCATGACGTGTGGCGTCTCAAGGGCCTCGCAGCTTACACCAACTGCACCTTCATTCCCCCTCCCCTTCGTTCTCCCCTTCCTCGTTCTCCCTCCCACACCCCTCAGTGTTCCGCTGGCGCATGGCAAGGCATGACGTGTGGCAGCTCAGGGACCTAGCAGCCTACACCAACTGCACCTTCGCCACGGGCAAGAGGCTCAAGCACGTGCACATCTCCGAGCGCTACAAGTGCGCTGCTGCCCTTTCTGCTGCACACACCGCTCCAATCTCTCTTGCACAACCCACCACCACCACCCTTCACCCGCCATCACCACCCTTCACCCCCCCTCACCAAACTCTTCCAGCTTTTGGTTTGTCTCATTTTACTGTTACGATTCCCTTTACCTGGCGCTCCCCCTGCAGCAATTTTCTTGTCGTTGCCTCTCCTCGTGTCCCTGCTGCAACCCTCCCAACCTGCTCAACCCTCTCAACCGCTCTCAACCCTGGCAGGTACAAGGTGCCACGGACAGCAGCGGGTACAACTCTCTTCTTCGCCTGCAGCGTGGACGCTCACTGCAGCGCCTACCACATGAAGACACAGATCCCTGTCTCACCCTAGACTGCCACCTGAAGCTGCCTGCGCTGTGCCATCTAGAAACCCTCATGACGCCATGTCATCTCATGAGTCATTACACCCACAATGAAGCACCAAGGGCCCTGTCCTGTCTCGCCCTGGAGTGCCATTTCAGATGCCTTAGGAGTCAACTGCAGCGTGCCATGCTGCCTCAATATGGTTCCTAGAGAACAGAAGCTGTAGGTATTACCTGTCTTCCTGTAGATAGAGAGACTCCACCTCCTTTTGTTGGCAGTTTGTGCTGTAAATTTGCGTAACAACACTGTTTGTCAAGTTGAATTCAATCGTCTGTTATAAGCGGTTTTATTTTTCTCTCCTAATAGTGTACCCTTATTTTTTTCCTAAGAGTTCATATTCACTGGATAAGGCATTTATATATATTCCTGGTACGATTTGGAATATATTTTTCCAGACGCTATCACCATTCCTTGCCTGTAAAGTGGACGGAGCCAAGGGCTGCCCACGTGGCGGCATCCCGTGGGCTCGGCGGCAACACCAATACGCGGCTCGCTGCTTGCTGCCTAAACTGAACGGCTTCTTCTGTGGCTGGCTGGCTATCCCCTAGCCACCGACTACCGCCATGGCTTCTTCTATTTTGGCTTCTTGCTCTTCCAGCGTAGTTTTTGCGGCGCCGCGCATTTTAACCCTTCCAGCCTACAGAAGCCGCCCATATCGTCGGTACGGCTCGCGCTCGGGACAAACCCCCCTTATGAACCGCATGTGGCGCCGTCCGTTCTCCTGCTGCAGCAGCTGCAGCAACGAGTCAAGTCGCAAGAAAGCAGGGCGTCCCGTGCCGCGCTCAAGATCGAACCTCGCCGTGCCCTTCCATTGCTCAGCACTGAGCATTCAACGTAGCGCTCGGCGCGCAGCGCCGGTCACTCTGCGTGTATTTTAATGGCGCCTTCACGCCATTGTGCCATAACTTGTGGCGCCCTTGGGATTAATCTTAGCTCGTTAAGTTGCACGCATCGCTTACCTCGAGGTTAACTAATAGTTGCGGCACCGGAATCGTCTGTGGTTGGAATATCAACACCTTTTCCAACCCCTCCGAGAGTCTCGGACATCCCAGAAACTTAGTCTCTAAGATACCGAGCCGTGTCGCGATCAGCCATGGCGTCAGCTCGCGCCGCGATTCTCCTCTGCACGCTCGTGCTCCTCGCGCCGTGTGAGTCACTGGCTTCAAATGGACTCTCTCTTTAAATCACGCCGTGTGAGTCATTTTCGCTGTTACTGGTTTCGTGGTTCACCTTTCACATTCCGTGTTTCTTGATTCTCGCTGCATCTTATTCCCAACCCCCGCTTACCTCCCCCACACTCCCGCCCCCCCTCTCCCCCCCCTTCCCCCTCTTCGCCCTCTCGAATCCCACCTACATGCCGTTCCCGCGGCCCAATCCTTCCCTCCCGCGCCGTTGCTGCCGCTGACGGTGCTACAACGTCCACATGGCACGTGACGTGGCATGTGACGTGGCATGTGATGTGGCATGTGACATGGCGTGTGACGTGGCATGTGATGTGGCATGTGACATGGCATGTGACGTGGCGGCCTCCAACGTGCCGCTGCTGCGTGATCATGGCGGGAACACCACTCGGCCTCTGCATGTTGCACACGTGGCGTGGACGTGCTGACGTGCCACCAGTCCTGCTGCAAGCCCAGGCAAGCACCCTGCCAACCAATAGCGGTCTTCCAAGTACCGCACAAGGATGTTCAAGGAAACGTACCAGAGACTGGCCTGCATCAGCTATCATTTTCCTCCTCGCCCTAACCGTTGGCTGCTCTCCCCCTCACTCCCTCCCTCCCTCCCGCCCGTCCCTCCTCGCCCTGCCCCCCCCTTCACAGGCAAAGGCAGTGCTGGTGGGGTACGGGCCTTTCCCGTGGTCCTTCTACGTCTCGCGCTCGTGGAGTCAGCCCGTCGTCAGGCCGGGCGACGTGCTCGGTGAGTCAACGCCAGTCAACGCCAGTCAACGCACCTGGGGTTTCGCCTGGCGGGTGGGGAGATGCTTTGGAGAGTGGGCCGGGGAGGGCCTGTGGATTAACCGATAGCCTCGTGTACGCCGTACGGCATGGGCGAGGGATCTGTGAGCTGCGACCTCTTACTCTTAGCGGTGCCTCAAAAGGCCTCGGCACTCGTTCTCGATTAGCACCAAGTTCTCTTCAAAAGGCCATCGTCGCTCTAAATCCAACTCCCCTTGCACTCACCTCCTCCCTCGCTGCGTCCCACCCTCCCACCCTCCCACCCTCCCCCCCTTTCGTGCCACTCCCACCCGCACCCAACACCACCGCGGCGTGCAGTTTTCAAGTGGGGATTCTGGCCGCACGGTGTGCGCAGGCTGGCAAGTGGCACGGCGTATGAGAACTGCGACTTCAGCGGCAGCTCCAAGGTTGCCGCCGTGCGCTTCTTTGGCTACGCCAGGTAACACGCTTCCTCTGCCCTGCTCCCTCAGTCTTCCTCCCCCATCCCATCCGACCGCAACTCACAGTTGCCTTCACTGGCAGCTCCAAGGTTGCCGCCGTGCGCTTCTTTGGCCACGCCAGGTAACCCCCCTTGCACTCCTTCTCTTTAGCTTCTCGTTTCTCCCCTCCCTGCCTCTGCTCCGCTCTTCCTCCCTCCCACACCACAGCTGCACGCTTCTGTTGTTCGCATGCTCCTTATTCCCTGACCTGCATTGCTTCCCGCCCTCTCTCGGGCGCACTACGCCTGCAGCTGATGCCGCCACCACGTGACAGCGCTTGTCTCTGCCCGCACCGAATTTCCCAGCTGCCTGGCCTCTTTTCCTTCTTCCCTGCACCTGCCTCTTATTTCCGCCCTCCTCTCTCTCTCATGCTCTCCACTCTCCCCTCCCTCCCTCCCCCCTTCCCAGGTACACAGTCCAGGCAGCTGATGCAGCCGCGGCGCTCTGCTTCACCTGTGCCTTATTCCCCGTCCCCCTTGACCTTCCTCCCTTGCCTCTCCACTCTCCCCTCTCCCTCTCCCTCCCCACCCCACACCCCAGGTACACGGTGCAGGCAGCTGATGCGGCAACGGCGCTCTTCTTCGCGTGCCCGGTGCCCAGCCACTGCGGGCCCGGTGGCATGAAGGTGCAGGTCAACGTCACGCCCATGTAGAGGGCAAGGCACGCAGCGGGCGCGTGGCTTCTTAGTCGGCTCACCAACCCTGCCGATTGATTCTTGAGTCGACCGAGATGTCATCTGCGGGCCGGGCGGCATGAAGGTGCAGCCTGCAGGTTAACGCCACCCCACAGTAGAGGGGAGGGATGGGGTCTGAGTAGGCTCGAAGGCGCACCATTCGTTTGGCCTCCAGAGCCGTCCCTCTCTGGACTCTACAGCTGCTGCTCCACCCGTGCCTGCCACCCTTCTTCTACGCTCCACCGCTCGCCGCCCTCTGCATTCCTCTCCTTTCGTTCCATTTCTTACACGGCCCTTCCTGTTGAATAAGCGCCAGGTTTCCTTCCTCGCCTGGTGCCCACCACCCTGCTCCACTGCCGAGCCAGCAGTATTTCTCGAGTATTGAGCCAGTGACCATCACTGCTTGCCTTCACGCAGAATTCTCGTCTGTCTGTGATGGCCTTTCGATTCGAACGCTGCCTCGCTGCCTTCAGCATCTGGTGGATTGAGCGGCCCATGTTGGTCGCGTGTGAATAAGGCTGCTGCAGGGGCGAGGGTTGGTTAAACTGCCTTCCTTGTTTGTTATTAGTTTTGTACCTGCAGTGCTGATTCTGTTACGTGCTACAGTGTTGTACTTTGAAGTTTAGTGGCATCGTTTTTTCACACTCACCAACCAAGACAAGTGCTGGCAGCGCAAAAGATTCCTGAAACAACCAGAACCCGCGGTCAGTAAGCATTGAACATATGCTTATTGTGCTGCAACCAACGTAACATATAACGCATTTCTCTGGTCCTGCGGCTACAAGGTTGTGCTGTGCAGGCAATACCATCCATCAAGGACAAAGAGTTAATAAAATAAACAGAAGTCATAGTGAGTGTGCAAGTACGGTACCTATTTGATGGATTGCTACTGCAAAGAAATACGGTACAGTTGGTGTGTGCAGCAAACTATGTGTGAACTAGGTACCGTAAGATCAAATGTAGAAACTAGTAAAACAGCTCCAGCCCCACAAAGAATCAGCTTCCATTCACTCAATGCAGCAATGCAGCTCCAGCCCCACAGCGGTGCTGCTGTGCACCAGCAACACGGCAGATCCGGTAGGAGGCCAGGAGCAGCCTCAATACCACACCAGCCCACATATAACAGCAGTGTTACTTGTGGAGTTAGGGCCAGTCGATACATGGATGGAAGGATATGCATTCATAACCACTGTATACTGTCGTTTAGTCATCACCCCTGTTACAGTCACGGTCGGACATACGATTTTCCCTGTCAGCAGCAGGCCTCTTTGTCCCCAGCACCGGCTCCCACCAGTTGGCCATACTCGTTACACCCATACTTGTTACAATCACAGCCAGCCATGGTCGTTGAGGTACTGCAGCGCCATGGTGCAGCATCCCTCCCCCCAGCATCGTCTCGGCTCGCACCAATACACCATACTCCCTACAGTCACACCCGTCACAGTTACAGCCAGCCGTTGTCCTTGAGATACTGGAGAGCCATGGTGCAGGTGACGACAGAGGGCAGCAGCATGTCTCCACTCAGCGCCATGCCCTGCAGATCCCCCACCGGCACCCGGTGCACCTCTATGAACTCCTCTAGATCCCTTGGGAGAGGGTCGGAATCGTCCTGCAGAGTGGGGAATTGGGGCGAGGAGACAAGAGAAAGGGGAGTGGGCGCAGGTCCTTCATTGGCACTCGGTGCACCTCTACGAACTCCTCTAGGTGACTTTTGAGTCGACTCAAAAGTCACCTCTAAATCCCTTGGGAGAGGGTCGGAATCGTCCTGCGGAGTGGGGAATTGGAGCGAGGAGGCAAGGGAACGATAGGGAGTGAGGGAGTGGGTGCGGGTCACCCACCGGCACGCGGTGCACCTCTATGAACTCCTCCGTCCCTTGGGAGAGGGTCAGCGTCGTCCTGCGGAGAGGGGAATGTGGGGTAGACACAAGGGAGCAGCTCAGCATGGTTCTCTGCAGAGCAGGCATTTCCCACCCACGCATGCAGCATGGAGGGTGTGCACCTCTGTGAGTGAACTCCTCCCAGTCCTCCTAGTCCTCCCAGTTCAGTCATCCTAGTCCTCCCAGTCCTCCCAGTCCTCCTAGTCCTGGGGGTATACGTTGCTGTGGGGAATGGGCAAGGGAGGACCAGTTTAGGGGGGTGGCAAGACGAGGTGCAAGGGGAGGAGGGAGGGTACGTCGCCCACGTGAACTCCTGCATGTCTGGTGGTGCGTGGGGCATTTTGAGGCGCCTCGAAAACTGACACCCACGTTACCTCATGCATGTCTGGGGACGCGCGGGAGGGTGGAGGGGGAAAAGAGGGCAGGGATGGGGACGCGAGGGGCACAGAGGGGTTGAAACGAGGCCTGGGAGGGAGGGGAGAGAGGGAGGTGGCAAGGGAGCCATGGAAAACAAATACCAGAGGGGAGACGAAGGGGAGGCCAACCTGAGGGTTGCAGGGAGGGAGGGAAGGTGACTGACTGACCTGAGGGTCGATGACGAGGAAGGGAGTGAATCGGTTCTTGCACCACTTGACCTGCCACGCACACAGGGGAGAGGCGCAATGGGCTTAACTCCTCGGTTAATTGGAGGGTTTCAGATCAGCACTTTGGCCTGCCACACAGCAAGGGAGCAAAGGGGGGTAGGCAGCAGTAGTGACAAGGAACGCATGTTCACCTTCAAGGTCGGATTGTGGATCAGCAAAGCTGAGCAGGCACGAATGAAACACACGTCTTCAATCATTATGAGCTGATTGAGATGAACGAGCCTACTTTAAGAGGTAACGCAAGCTCCCTTGCATGGACTGCACACACATGTGTATGGTTGAAAGGGCACGCAGCTCCCACCGAACGAAGCAGGAAGAAACGGGTGAGCGTGGAAAGCAGGGAAGTCTCACCTCGAGCAGGCCGGGATGGTCGTCCCCCACGAGCTTGATGAGCTGCCCTCCACACAGCCTCGCCTGGCGCATGCATGCAGGGGCAGCAACGCATGGAGCGAGAGGTGATGAGTTCTTTTTTAGAAACTAAACAATGAATCAGTTAACGACGATGTTTATGAGTTGCCCTCCAGACAACTTTGTCTGGCGCATGCAGGGGTAGCAAGGCGTGGGTCACTTCTGAGAATTCTCAAAAGTCACCTCCGAGAATCCCAAACTGTCACCCTTCACAACCCTCATCAATCAACCCACTTCCGTCTTTCTTTTACATGTGAGTCACATCTGAGCATTCCCAAAAGCAACTTCTGAGAGCCCTCAGAACCATCGCCCTTGGCGGGTCTCATCAATCCGAGCGCATCCCACATCACCCGCGTCTCACTCACCTCTTCAGACAGCTCTCTGCGAGCGCAGTCCTCCAGGGACGTGTGGTTGTCCGTGTAGCCGCCACACGGCACCGTATAGACGAGGGCGTTTGCTCCCTGCGGGCCATGCAGGGCGAGGCAGGGGGAGGGAGAGGTAGCAAGTTTGAAGACGTCTGAATACATGTGGGACGGGTCCTCCAGGGGCGAGTCGTTGCCTGTGTACTTTTGAGACTTCTGAGAGGTGAATCCACTTGCCACCGTGTATACCAGCGCGTTCGCTCCCTATGGGCCATGCAGGGGGTGGCAGAGGGCGAGGCAGAGGGAGGGAGAGGTAGTAAGGTTGGAGACGTCTGAAAACATGTGGGACCGGTCCTCCAGGGGCGTGTCGTTGCCTGTGTACTTTTGAGACTTCTGAGAGGTGAATCCACTTGCCACCGTGTATACCAGCGCGTTCGCTCCCTATGGGCCATGCAGGGGGTGGCAGAGGGCGAGGCAGAGGGAGGGAGAGGTAGTAAGGTTGGAGACGTCTGAAAACATGTGGGACCGGTCCTCCAGGGGCGTGTCGTTGCCTGTGTACTTTTGAGACTTTCCAAAGTGGCCCCACATGGAACTGTGTACACCAGCACGTTCGCTCCCTACGAACCATGCAGGGTGAGGAAAAAAACGCGAGGGGGAGGGAGAGGGAGGGAGAGGGAGGAAGGGCAGGAAGGCGAGCGAGTGAGGGAGGAGGGAGGCAGGCACACGCCAAGAGATGCCTCAGAACACTGCAAAACCCTCTTCTCCAGCCCGTCCCCCTCTTCGAGGACCAGACGGAACATCGCCACCGCCCAACCATCCATGTGACCACCAGCAAACAGTGCCAAGTGCTCCTTCATTTTCTTGCTACCTCATTCGCGCTACCTGATTCGCTTGCTGCCTGATTTGTTTGCTACCTGACTCGCTTGCTGCCTGATTCACTTTGTACCTCATCGTTCTTGTGCCTACCTGTGCGTATTCCTTCAACAAAGTAACAGTCTTGGTTTTCGAGTGAAACGGCAGCACGCACACAAAGTGGCACGACTTGGTCGTAGCCGCCACCACATCATACCCCACCACCTGCTGCGCCCACAGCTCCGCGCGCTGCTCCCCCTGCCCCACTTCCACTTCATCGTGTCTACCAGAATGAGTTGCATCACGTACCTGCGCGTATTCCTTCAGTAGAGTAACCGTCTTGGTCTTTGAATGGAACGGCAGCACGCACACGAAGTGGCACGACTTGGTGGTAGCCGCCACCACATCATACTCCACCACCTGCTGCGGCCACAGCTCCGCCCGCTGCTCCCCCTGCTCGCCCTGCACCTGCCCCAGCTCCAGCCCGTATCCTATCCACCCGCCCGAGTGCCCGCTGCTGTTCGGCCTCTCTTCTGTCACCCCGAACTCCTCCGCTAGCAGACAATCGCCGCCGACCGGGTGCTCATCTGATGCTGGTCGGGTCATGCTGGCTGGGAGGGTTTGGCCGTTGGGGAGAGGCTGGGGGGGATGCTGTGAGGGGGAGGGGAGGGGGAGAGGAAGGGGGAGGAGGATACAGGAGGGGAAGAAAAACGGGAGAGGAGGAAGGAGGGGGAGAGAAGGTGAAGAGGACAGAGAAAGGAGAGGGAGAGGAAGGGGAGAGGAGGGACAGATGATGGGGAGAGGGAATGAGTAGGGGGAGAGGACCGGACGGGAAGAGGATGAGGAAGAGCATGAGGCGAGGCATGAAATGAGTCGTGGGACGGTGCGAGATGAGGCATTGGACAGGATGAGGAACAGGATGAGGCACGTGCTGGGCCCTGGAATGAGGCCTGGGGTGATGCATGGGAAGTGACATGAGATGCGGCATGGGAGCACAGGATGAGGCACGGGATGAGGCTCAGAATGAGGCGTGGGACGAGGCGTGGGGTGAGGCATGGGAAGAAGTCTGAGATTGAGCACAGTATAGTAGGAGCCACACTTTCAAATCAACCAGTGCAGGGATGTCACTGGTGTTTCAAAGGCAAAGCCACGTGGATGCCTGTGGGATGGCTGGTGTTTACAACATTTGGCTGCATGATTTCACATGCTAGTAGCTGAACTCACAAACTTATTTCCATCTTGGAGAAAAGAGTTTTGCTTCTTTACAGACGAACACACTGCAGCGTGCAACGCGCGACAGCTGGCTGACAGAGGAACTGCCAAGCATGGGAGCAAAGAGCTTACCTCGACAACTCGGTTGAAGACATTCAGGTAGCGTGAAAACTTCAGCTCCTCCTGCCCAGACAGTTGCACAGAGTCAGGAGTTCAGACCACAGTTGTATGAGGATAGGCGCATGAGGAAGACATGAGGACAACATGGTGCAAATGCAGGAATAATATTAAAGCGATTCTCGCACACAGGGAGGACGACAAAGCCACAACAGCACAAGAAATGCAAGATTCGAACAACGAAGCACGGGATCAGCACGGGATCAGAGCTCTGTTCGGAAACAGCGAGAACATTTCTCACCTTGAGGATCTTGAACTCGTATGGCCGTTTGGGTTCTTCTGCGGAAGATAATATCGGTATAGGAAGCTCACTCGCCACCCCTAGCTCCTCCTCTCCGCCCATCCCCTCCTCTTCCTTCGCCACTATTTTCTGCTCTCCGCTTTCTCTCCCTAGGGCACTGCCGTTCACAGCCCGTTCAACCCCTCTACCGTTGCTTTTAATCTCGCTCGCGTCGTCTGCTTCGACTACGAGTAACCCGCTATCGTCTGACCATGCGACTGCTCGCACGCTGTCGCCTGATGCCGTGTCGTCTGCCGATAGGTCCATATCCACGTGGTGGTTCGTGATTCGCAGCACCGCGCTCTCTTCTGCCAGCCCGTCTATGTCCGACTCATCCTCAGCTGAACCTGGAAGGAGGGGAAGAAGCGAGGGCAACGGACACCAAACGCGCAATAAGACCGAAAGGGGGAGTCGCGGTTTGTTCGTGAAGAATCAGCACGGGACGTTGTAAGAATGAACGCGTAACAAGGGAAAAAAGATGTGATAACACCTCAACGGTCAATCTTCCACCGAGAAAGGAAACGAGAATGGCATACCTCGGTTTCTGGAACCAGCGGCTTGGTGCGGAATGGCGGCCTGCCCAAAGCCGAATGCAACACAAGCGAATCAGTACAGCTTGATATAGTTCTTCTTAAAGAGCACGGCGAAACGTTCTAGAGACCTTGACGTATTATGATGACGGGCAAGGCGGGTACTTGAGATCACTACTCGGGTCCTATACGCGACAGCTGCACATAAGTCGGCTCGTGACAGCGAAGGATGAATCTAGAAGGTACAAACTTGCCGTACCCGACAACGCCACTTTGTTGTGCTGGTTGCTGCTCCTTGCCAATCGCCGGCTGGGGTTTGTCCGGTATGGAACGAAGCGGCGACTGACGAGCTGGACCGGGAATGTCGCTGGCGGTGCTGCGGCCTTCGCCTGAGTGACGTGGATGTCGGGCTGGTTGACCTCGCTCCGGCAGATATTTCTGTCGCCGTGGCGAAGGACGAGAGTCTAAAGTCGCAGACAGAGGAAACTGAGTTAAACGGCATTGCTGTGGAGATGGACGACGGAGGGGTCAAAGCCGACGAGAAAAGGCCTAACTGACGAACGCGAAAGTTAAACTCGGCGCGACGCACATCCACACAAACATAACACGTCACGAGCCGAATAGGCCAAGTGCTATTGTGCTGCGGTCACAGGCATAACGCGTCACGAAAGTTGCTTCGCGAACGTCGGAGATTCACGAAGTTGAAAGCGTTATTGCTTCGGTGCGAAAGCAAGGCGAGGTTACAGGACTCACTCTTAGCGCCTCTGGACGCGTCCGAAGCGACGTTTGACAGCAGAGCCGAGCCTCCGCCTACCCCTACAGCAACGGTCTCTCCTACTTTCCACATGCAATCCCAGTGATAGCTGTAGCCGAAGCTAAGTTCAAGGGAATAACAAACTTGCCTTCTTAAAGCCGCGGTGCAACTATCTTAGGAACAGTGACAAGCCGGGTTTTGTCTTGTTCCGTACTGGTAGTCAATTGGCTAGCGAGTGTGTAAGTTGTGTTGCGATGAAAACATCCAAGGCGAATGTCGCGAACCTCGAAAGGAAAAGTGGGGGGGAAGGGGTGGGGGGGAAGGGAAGGGGGGAACACACACGAAACGGGAAATGGGACCACATCAACACCCCCATACTCCCTTTCGCTGATTGTTCTGCCAATAACACCTCCACATTGCAAAACGATAAACCTTATGTTTCATAAAAACTTTGCAAAATACATATTTCACTTACAAGGTTTATTTTGGTTTATTTATCCATCCATTTGCAAGAGTATTATTTATAATGGGGAGAAAGAACATCAACTGTACAGACCTGCAAGACTTGGAATGTCATATTGAAATCCTTATCATGCAAAGGATCACAAGCAAACAACATGGCATAATCCAAGGAGAGCCGATTTTTACACTCCGATCCACTATTGGTGCAGCTGTCCATTTACAGGGAGGAGGGGGGAGGGGAAAAGGGGAAGGAAACGTTGCGCATTATTGAAGAATGTTAGGTAGGGAAATTGAAGAGAGCATGGAAACTGAGATATGATAGACAGCCTTCAGTGGCCAAGCAAAGCTGGTACTGTTGGCTGAATTGAACGAGAGAACGTAGTGGAAAGGGAAGGGACGGTAGTGGGGGAAGGCGAAGGGCAGGGGAGGGGGGAAAGGGATGGCTGAGAGAAGCGTGAATGGTGGGAGAGGACAGTAGGAAAGGGAAGGGATGTGAGAGAGGGGGAGGAAAGGTGGGAGGGAAGGACAGGGGGAAAGGGAGAGAAGGACAGGGGGAAAGGGAGAGAAGGACAGGGGGAAATGGAGAGGAGGACTGGGGGAAAGGGAGAGGAGGACAGGGGGAAAGGGAGAGGATGACAGGGGGAAATGGAGAGGAGGACAGGGGGAAATGGAGAGGAGGACAGGGGGAAAGGGAGAGGAGGACAGGGGGAAAGGGAGAGGAGGACAGGGGGAAAGGGAGAGGAGGACAGGGGGAAAGGGAGAGGAGGACAGGGGGAAAGGGAGAGGAGGACAGAGGGAAATGGAGAGGAGGACAGGGGGAAAGGGAGAGGACAGGGGGAAAGGGAGAGGAGGACAGGGGGAAATGGAGAGGAGGACAGGGGGAAAGGGAGAGAAGGACAGGGGGAAAGGGAGAGGAGGACAGGGGGAAAGGGAGAGAAGGACAGGGGGAAAGGGAGAGGAGGACAGGGGGAAAGGGAGAGAAGGACAGGGGGAAATGGAGAGGAGGACAGGGGGAAATGGAGAGGACAGGGGGAAAGGGAGAGAAGGACAGGGGGAAAGGGAGAGGAGGACAGGGGGAAAGGGAGAGAAGGACAGGGGGAAATGGAGAGGAGGACAGGGGGAAATGGAGAGGACAGGGGGAAAGGGAGAGAAGGACAGGGGGAAAGGGAGAGGAGGACAGGGTGAAAGGGAGAGGAGGACAGGGGGAAAGGGAGAGGAGGACAGGGGGAAAGGGAGAGGAGGACAGGGGGAAATGGAGAGGAGGACAGGGGGAAAGGGAGAGGAGGACAGGGGGAAAGGGAGAGGAGGACAGGGGGAAAGGGAGAGGAGGACAGGGGGAAAGGGAGAGGAGGACAGGGGGAAAGGGAGAGGAGGACAGGGGGAAAGGGAGAGGAAAACAGGGAGGGCACTGCCCAAGAGAAGTTGATGCTGAGAACCGGGCAAGGGATCGGAAAGGGGGAGGCATTGGAGAGGAATAAATATGGAGGGGGACGCGAGATGCTTCGCCACCGTTGCACAGATGCTTCGCCCCGCTGCTCGCTATCGTCGCCCTGGTGCTTGCTATCGTCGCCCTGGAGCTCGCTATCGTCGCCCTGGTTGTCGCTATCGTCGCCTTGATGCTCGCTATCGTCGCCCTGGAGCTCGCTATCGTCGCCCTGGTGCTCGCTATCGTCGCCCTGCTGCTCGCTATCGTCACCCCGCTGCTCATATCGTCGCCCCGCTGCTCGCTATCGTCGCCGCACCGCTCGCTATCGTCGCCCCGCTGCTCGCCACCGTCGCACCCATTCCTGCCTGTCGCTACCGTTGCGCCTTTGCTACCGCAGATACGTGAGGAATGGAGGGGCGGGAGAGGAATAAGGACGGCAACGGAGGAAAACGAGCGCAATGCGCTTCGAATACGACAAAAAGGTGTTTACGAGGTAGGAAATTGCGCAGATATTCGTGAGCACATCAATAGACCATGAAACGCGAGAAATCTTAGCGGAAATGGCTCTGCGTAGCTCGGAAAACGCACTTCAAGTTAGTAAGAACCTAGTTCAAGCGTGAGAGTTTGCCGAGTTTGAGTTGTTTTGAGTTCAAGTTTGAATTTTCAAGTTTGCTGCATGCGCTCCCCCTCAACTCGTTGAGCGGAGCTTTTCCCCGAGCCCTCCCCCGTTTCCCCCCCACACACATCATACTGCGAAGGACTTTTCCGCACGCCCTTCCCCCGCTGGCAGAAACCTCTCCCTGCTCGCTTTCCTGTGTATACTGGGTCACGCGGCTTTCAAACTATAATAGTTTGAACTGGAGCCCGGATATCTGCACCGCGGCTTTAATACTACCTACAGCGAACTGGTTCCTGTCACACCCGTCTAGAGTTGATGAATTCGAGGTGATTCAGAGGACACTAGAAAACCAAGGTAGATAGACCCGAGGAGATTCCTAGAAAAGGTGGTGGAGTGGAGAAGACCTGATGAAACCTAGGCTGCTATGTCTGGTCTGGTTGGTATGATCAACGGCAGTTTCCTGTTATTTCCTATTTCTGCACTGTACAGCGAGGCGGCGTGAACTTGGGTACATCTACGCTGATCGAGGCCAGGTTCGTCTTGAATCGTGAATCCCAGGCGCTCCCTGCTTCAATCAGCTGCGGTCACCAATCAGCCAACGGCCAATTGAGGGGGGAAACCGAAGCGTAAAACGCCCAGTCGAATGTTGCCACGGAGGACCTGTCTGTCATGGCCTTTCCTTCCTCGAATTACGGCGAATGGATAGGGTGGCAGGTGCTAAGGTTAAGGTTATATATTGATCGTAATCAAAGTACAAAGAGTAATCCATAGAGCAGTCTAGAAACATGGCCGAGGTGGCCAGCATCCGCAGTGGAGCACGTAGAACACACGTTATTCCTTGTCCTCGCGGACAACCGCCAGCTGCCTGGGGAGACGCTCTATGCGATGGATGACTATGGTGGTCGGAACGGGTTTCCCAAGAGCCAGGAGAGCCTTAGGTCGGGGTGGATAGAGGGTGTACCGGTCCTGTCGAAGAGGAGAAAGCGGAGTTTCTGTGCTCGCTTGATGCTGGATGATATACGTTGACGCTTCTTGGCCGATTGGCGTTTGCCTCTCCACATGTAAATTTTGAAGGCGATGAGGAACTGGGCTAAGATGAGCTGCAGTACCTCGAAGCTCGAGGAGGAGGAGTTGCGGTACCTGTGGTCACAGCGACTGTTCCACAGCGTCTTGGCTGCTGCTCCTACTAGTAGGCTCCATGGGGGGGACTGTCCAACCCGTGACTGTGGCGGGAAGAAGATGTGTTCGGCGGGGGCGGTTTGTCCGAGGTGACGGTCAGCGACTGTGCGCAGAGCAGAGGTGACATTTCCGGCGGAGGCGCATTCGAAGAAGATATGCGACAGTGTCTCTATAACAGCAGCAGGACACCGGGGGCAAACCCCTCGGTCGTCAAAATATTGGAAGCGTGATCTAGAGGGGAGAGTTAGTGTGTAGAGTCTGAAGAGGATATCCCGTTGGCGGCTCGGCTGGTCTTTGAGAAAGGGGTCCTTAAGGCCAGGGAGAGGGGGAGGAGGAAGGGTGAGGTCTCGGGTCCATCGACTGTGGTGAGTAAGCGGCTGTGTGGAGTAGAGGAGACGGCGGATGTCGGCGAGGCTGGGGGTGCCGTCCTGTAGAAGTTCTACCCTAGCTCCTAACCCTGTCCCTGTGTGAAGTGGCCCTGCGAGCCACCATTCCCTGACATACACCTCAATGAGGTCTTGTAAATGGAAGAGTCCGGTATTGATTGGGGTACGGCCGATGCGATGGTTGGGCGAGACGGGGTGGACAGTAGCCGAGACGGTAGAGGGGGGGATGAAAGCGACGACCTGGATAGCGAGGTGAGATATGGAGTAGTGGTCATCCGAGGGCATGAACCAATCTCCAGGGGAGGCAGAGGAGGAGTGAGGGGATCGGAGGCCGGCCCACCAGGGAGGCTTGATACGTTGATGAGATCTGGGAGGAGGCGTGTGGCGTCATCGTGAAATTCCTCCGGGAGTTGGGAGCAGAACTCCTGAGCAGAGATAGGGCTGACGTCGAAGGTGGTGATTCGGACAATGTGTCCGATGCAGAGCTGTCCTGTAAGCAGGAATCGCTCGTGTTGGCGGGTGCCGAAAGGTCGCTCGTCGGGTTTGAGGAGCAACCGGTTGAAGGCGAGAGGTTCGGTGAGGATGCATTGCATGCGTAGGGGTGGGCCACGGATAACCAGGGGAAGAGCGAGGAGGGTTTTAAGTTCATCCAGTGCCCGAGGGGGGATGAAGGAGG